ATCCTGCCTCCAGACGCTGGTACATGGCCACAGGGGTCGACAGCAGCAAGGAGCCTGGAGAGGACAGGGGAGGTCAGTGTGTTTCCATCTTCAGTTGCAGAAAGAATGGCATGTTTGTTCTGAATATACTGTGTAAATGCGTGCATGGTGTATTTTTTCTTTTTCTTTTTGTGATACCTATCCAGATAGACACAGAGATGGCCAGAGCCATGCGGGGGGTGCGGTGTCGCAGTGACTGCAGAGGATAGACAGTCACGTAGCAGCGGTCCACACTCATCGCTGACAGAGTGATACATGTTGCCTGAGCAGTCACCTTACGCACACACACACACACACACACACACACACACACACACACACACACACACACACACACGTAGATGTGATTCTGTTTGACACACATTTTCAAGTTGGTTTTATGTTTTGTGCTTTGTAGAATCAGATGATGTGATGACAGTTAACAACACAACAACTATTTATTATGATAACATCTTAAAGTGGAATATGTTTTTTTGTGCTGATTATTACATTGAATTTATTGGCAAAAGTTTCAATGAAAACCTTAGTAGCTTGTATTTCATCTAGTGTTAAACAAATGCCTTTTAAGGACACAGATACACAAGTCATTCTTATTATACACACACTATACACAACCTTTTAATTTACCTAACATTTTATATTGGATAATTTAGGGACATTAGTACATCATGTGTTTTTACTACATTTGATATATTATATGTGGTTATGACATTACATGCAATTATTACATTATCAGTGTCTACAAGCTTTTCAGCTATAAAAAATTATTGGACCTAGTTGTTTAGGTGGCTGCACATCTAATACTAGTTATTCTGCAATGTACATAATGCTACAGTGTCTTTAAAAAAAATACTTTTTTTAAATTACAATTACAGTACTACATGCTAACCATTAATATTTTAGTAGTTGCTCTGATGGTTACGAAGTCATTTTTAATGATATTGGTATATGGTATTTGCTTGTTTATGTGTGTGTGTCTCTCACCTGCTGAAGGTAGTTCACTAACCGGCACATAAACTCTCCAAAGATCCAGCTGGGCAGTGGGTACAGTGTGGCAGTGAAGGGCACGCAGCACACCAGAAACAAGATGTCAGTCGTAGCCAGGTTGACTGGAAGAGAAGAAGAACAGTGATTCCTAAAGAGAGAAATGTAATTCAAGATGTGTCAACGCGAGATGCAGTCAAGCGAGCAAAAACACCATACATGTACCAATAATACTGGCTTTGACCTTTCAAAATTCAAAAACTAACCTGTGATCTCACTTTTGGACTTTTTCATTGTGATTTTAAGGGTTTTAATGCAAAAATGTGAATTCACGTTTAATATAAATTACAAGTCACCATCACTGTCTTTGTTGCCCTGTTACTGCTAATTGTGCTTTAGAATTGTTACCTATGTAAAAGTTGGTGACTGTCTTCATCTGCTGGTGTTTGGTGACCACATGGATGACCAGCGAGTTCCCGACCAGGCCGACCAACATGATGAGACCGAAGAAAGTGGGAACCAGCCAGGCATCGGCCAACACCGGCGGACCCCGCCCCTCCAGAGCTGTGGACTCGTTGCATACAAGCCCACAGTCTGGCCCGTGATTGGCTGCTGACTCCAATATCATCTTCACAAGTCAAATCAGGAATATTTCTGTGGTGCAAGTAGAACATTAGTTGAGATTGCAGTGTCTGCTATCTTGTATAATAAATGTATTTAAAAAAAACAATGACCACACTGAAGTACAAATAAAAGGTTTTAAAAATAGGAATTACAACACACACTGGTGCATTGAAATATGAGCATGATTTATCGTGTTTCTTAACACCTGCTAATTTGGATTTATGACATAAAACAAACATGTAAGCATATCAAATAAGCCTTTTGTGTATAATAAACTTCTCCTACCTGCGTTGTGTCTGCAGTGCTCCCCTCTCTGCTGGTCTGTGATGGGCTGTTGCTCTGTTCTCTGCAGCTCTGAGATGAAAGCACTGTTATAGACCACCATAACTGGGGAGGGGAGGAGGTGTTTGGAGGAAACCAGAGTCATTTTGCGTTGTGAGCATTTATGCGAGCGAAAGGGCGAGAGGCTGAGGTAGTAGGAGCTTTTTTACAAAATCTCCATCATCACCTGTAATTACCCAGGACTGGCTGCCCTGTAAAATGATTGCAGCCAGATTTGAATAACGTTATTTCATTTCTTCAGCAGGTTCACACACAGAAACTGTAGTCAGTGTTAGCTTCAGCTTCAACTGCAGCTGAACCTACTCTTGACTCTATCACAATCTAAAGTTATTCCTCCACATTTCATTTTATTAACACTGAGGGTTGATTGACTGCAGAAAACAGGAAACCATAATGAATGGTTAATAACCTGCAAACCAAAATGAACATGAATGCATCATGGAGGCAGCTGGTGGTCGTGGTGACATGACACCTTGATCTCCCGCCACTTCCAGCAAAAACACCTGTCATTACATCCGTCATGACCTACAAAGTTGATGTTTGTTGTTTTTGCAGTTGTTGTTTGACATTTTATCCATTATCAGTCATGTAAGAATCATTTTTATTTTTTTCTTGCTTCAGATGGAATAAATGAAAACTGGTATTTTAGGGGAATTATGCTTGTGTGTGTGTGCAATGAGTAAACACTTGCGTTTTCTAAATGCGTCATTACCAAAGAGAAGGAACTTCCATTTTCTTTATGCAACATAGTTCGACAGTAGAAAATATGTTAATGAACATGCTCTTGACATTATTTTTTGTCATTTTCAACCATACAATTTCTTAAATAAATTTAAGTTATCATGCGTCTAACATTCTCTTGTTTGTTCGTGTCTTTGGAAGTAGAGGTAAAAAAATAATGAATAAGACAATCTGTCTTTGCTGGTTTCAGTTTAATTTGATCTCATCTGCCTTTGACTTTCTTACAGAAATGGAAGTGGTAAAGAGGTGGACTCAGATGAGTTGTGACGAGCACTTTTCACAGGCATTTGATAGTGTCTGGGAACTCCATGTTTCTTTGAGGCACCTAAAAACAGCTTCCTCTGTAGGTCTGTCAAGTTCTCAAAGAACCATTGGTTGGTCGGCCCTGGATAAGGATCAGGCATTAAACAATCAGATCCAGTATTATTCTAATAATTGGTATGACTATCTATCAGTATTATTATCATGATAAATCTATTGATCCCTGAGCAAATTTAGTCATTTTCCATGTTGGAATGTTCATTATAAAGTCTCATAAAACAATAGTATCTACATTGGCGGAAGAACAGTTATGGCCTCTCAAGCCTTAAGCAGGACACTTAAAGAGTGTGTTTCAGCCTACGTGTGTGGCAGGACAACAATGAAGGATGTACATGATTTTGTGACTATAACAGCCCAAGTAACTGACCAGTTTGAGGAGACATTTTGAGTGGCATCCACTGTGGTTCACAGGAGAGCTGTTTGGTCCAAGCCTGCACACCCAGGATGTGTGGATGTATCTCTTGCTTTTTAATACGTTCTACAACAGAGAGCGCTGAGTCAGAGGGCAGCGTCTTAGATTTTTCCAGCAGGTGTGTAAGGACGACAGGATTTGAGGATGTTAAGGTAGGGTGGAGTTGTCCCTCCTGAGATGAGGCCACTGCAGTGTTTGGGACAGGTAAGCTTTCACTCAGGTGATCCCGCCTCTGAAACTGACACTTGGACAACTGGCTTATGTTTTCAGGGAGGACGGCTCTGGATCTAAAGGTCCCATGACTGTTCTTTAGGATGGAGAGGGTGGTGCTGATGTTTCGAGGGTCGATGTGTGTGGTGTCACAAGGTGGGGATTTCCTCTCAGCCAAAGCCTTTAAGAACTCTGAAATCTGAGAAGAGTAGCATTGGGGGAGTATCACAGACACAGCAGAGATCAGATACGTTTTCAAAGACCACATCCTTCAGTGTGCACAGTTGCTACTGTGAACCACACACATCACATGAATCCAGTTTTAATTGGACTTATATTTTAAGTAAACATGTTGTACTTCATAACACAAATAGTCCAAATAAAATCAAAAGTTCTTAGTATTTTATCATCTTATAACCCTCTGATAACCCTTGCAATACCTACCCAGCCCCAAAGTTAGTGAGCACAGTGGAGCTTTTAGCTCCTAAACAGCCAGCCAAAATCAATGAAAGCTGTTTTAATGTGTATTTTCATTTTAATTACAGGTTTTACATTAGATTTTCTCTAGGTAACTATGATCATCATAAAACAGTCATATGAATATCTGTATGTCCACCTTTAGCACCCCCTAGTGATGGTATATTTCTATGCATCCCTCCTTTGTCCCTTGGTGATGTTAAAGCTTTACAGATGAAAATGTAACAAAAGGCCTGTTTGTTCTGAAAAAAATTTTATTGAATCCGACAGTAAATACTTTATGTATCAATTTTCACTACCTTAAGCCCATGAGACTCTCTGCTGTCAGAATCTCCATCCTTGTTTTCACTGTCCATGACCCTAAAAGACCTTAAAAAGGAAAGTGCCCACTTGTTACTTCATTAAATATTAAAAACCTAAAATAGTGATCATTATAACAAAATATTTCAAACTGACTGTACCTCCGTCTCCATCTGCCTTGATACAAAAGTATCAGCTGAAAAGAGGTGATAGCTCATCGGTTAGCTGCAGAAACCTGGACATTATGATGCAACAGTTCTGACAAATGAACTATCACCGTGACAACTGATCGGAAGATTCTAATGACAAGTGCACCACCTCATTGACAACTGCTCAAACTGCTGAATGTAAAACAGTGGCCACACAATGTCATATTACTGGATTTAGCTATTTATTATTTTATATGTATACAGACATATTGCACAGGTTACAAATCTTAAGAGCACGCAATCTATACAAACACAAGTTCCTGGCTTTGATCAAGCAAAAAAAAAGAAACCAACATAAACCTCATGTACTCTTATGTGAAGGATACATGTTTTGTGCGTTATTTTTTTTGTGCGTTTGTGTGGTTCAAGGGAGATTTACATTCTTTATATTTACACAGCGATAAATATATATTTTAACTTTTCAAAGACTATACAAACTGATAAAGCAGATTCAAGACACTCAAACTCCTCCACTTTTGCATACTGCTGGTACACGACACTGGGTAATGGTACACTGTCTTACAGTGTGTTTTTATCAAACAGCTGTTGTTAACATCTGTGGATTTTGGGTGGGTAGATTCCAACTTAAAAACCGAATACTTAATGGTCTCATCCACTTAGCTTTACCAAGTTAAAGCTGATCAGCTCTCCACTTTAGTGAGCACGCTTTTGGGCTATGTTGTACCATTTCCTTCTGCATACAAGACATGGTGAGATTTGACTGAATGAATTAAGATAATGTGTGTACGTGTGTAAAATGGTAGACAGTCACTAAATTTAAAAAAACACCTTGCTTTTGAGGTCCTTCTAAAGGTTTTTTTTTTTTTTTTAAATGCAGGAGCCCAGAATAAAAGAAGCAGGGTCGACATCAGAGGTATCTAAAATCAATCAATCATTGTTTTGACTGCACAGATTGTGTTGAAACTTTCCTCTAAGCATGAACATACATATTTGGGCTTCAAGAGTGTGTGTATGCAAGTGGTCTGCAGGAAGAGCAGTGGTAGGAAAGGAGGCACGTCCACATCTCAAGGATTTCCTCATGTCCGACTTCCTCGTCAACATTCAGTCTCTCAGTCTTAATAGATGGGACAAGGTTTAGAGCAGGGATTGTGTGGGAGGACGGAGGCTTCATGATGCTCAAATGTTGAAGCTCTCTCCACAGCCACATGTGCCCTTGATGTTGGGATTGTTGAAAACAAATTCAGTGGACAGCTTTGACTCCACAAAGTCCATCTCAGTTCCCAGGAGGGTCAGCTGAGCCTTCTTCTCTATGAACACCCTCACGCCTGCAAGAGAGTTGTAGAGTCAGTACTTCAAAGTTCTAATGTTGGCATCAACACTGGTTTCATTTTAAGTTCCAATCAATGAAACAGCAACCCTACAAACACATTTTTATTACAGCCACTATGTGAAGAATTTGAAAATGTCTAATTTTACCACCCCCTAGTATTAGTAGTAGTAGTAATTTTTTTTTAAGAAAATCACTGTGACAGACAGCAAGGCATGCTGTGAATAATCCTCACAAGACTGTATTTGAACATTGTTCCACCTGTCCTCATAACTCAAATAATCCAAAACATTTTACTATAAAGGAAAACACAATAATAAATGGTTTTACCATCCTGCAGCACTTCCTCATCAGATTTGTCTCTCTCCTTGGTGTAGTCCAGTGTGTAGGTCAGTCCATTACAGCCACGTGTTCTCACGCCAACCTTCAAACCGATCTAGAAAGAGAGAGATGGACATAACCAGTCTGTGTAATTTACCACTTACCAACCACTAAAGTGTCATCAATTATGCTAAAAGTTATATATTTACACACGACTACTGGAAAGCAGATGTGTTGGGTTGGACAACTCAAATGCAACTAGTTTGTGAGCTGCACTGTCGAACTACACAAAAAAGAAAGTGTGTATAATTGTTCCCATCTACCACACTGGAAGGCAGAGTGAAAAACCAGCTATTAAAGAGAGAGAAACACAGAACATGTAGAGAAGCACAGCATGCTCAATGAGACGATGTTTCAGTGACTGTTGTTCATATCATTTACTCACATATTCCGGCTTGTCCTGCAACAACGTCCTGATTTTATTCACAGCTGCTGGAGTCTAAAGAGAAAACATAAGATAAATAGGTTACAACTCACAGCTATGATATCAAGTTTGATTCAGATGAAAGCAGTGTATGTAGGTAAAACTTTTTCAAACATACTGAGCAGAGAGTGACAACTGAAAACAAACTGCACTGCTGCTTTAAGTTCCTACGGTTATTTTTATACTAGTTTCTGCACTGTGACAAGTTTCGGTTGTAGGGATCTGAAATTGAAAAGTACCTACAGTATAATGAAATAACCTGCACCTGCAACTCCAGCTGTACAGGAGAGGATATAGGTACAGGAAAGTGTTGGCGCTCTCTTTCGGAGGCATTTGGGAGACCGAGGTGAACTACACTGGCCATATGGTGCTAATCCCTTAATGCCGGTGTGTTCATCTGTATGTGTGCACTGTGCTGTCAAATGTACAGTACATTCCAACTGTGTCCCAGCCTGGAATTGTTTCATAAGTATACCGTCAACCCTATGTAATGGCAATATCCAAAACCTAACTTGTCTAGAATATGTAGTTAATAGCAAGTATTTTGCACTGGATTGTTATTAATACATCAACCTGTTAGGTTATATGACATTTAATGCATAATTCAATAATGATTATGTTCATCATTGACCTCAAACCGTGACTGGTAAAGAAAAACTAGCATAACTCTTAAATGACACATCATCTGCAGGTGGCTCTCTGCAGAGGAACGTCTCACTACTTAACATTTACTTCAGTGCAAAACCATTATCAGCTCAGGCCACCACATGTACACTTTATCTTCAAACAGCACTGTTAGCAGAGCTGGTCAGGTTGATATTCACCATCATCCCACCCATAACAACAAACCATGACTCTGCACTGGTAGCTTGTTACACTGAGTCTGTTTCATTTATAATTATATCACACGGAGTACTTTTCCACTAACTTTTATTTTAAGTTTTTGATTTTTTCTGGTATGTTTTCCCCTATTAGACAGTAAAGAGTGACAGTAAAGTTGGGGAAATTTAAGAGGGTGAAATGCAACAAAAGCTACGACATCACAGATAAAGAGATGGGTGACAAAGAAATGGATAACCATACTATTCTAGAAGACTTCTAGCACACTCAGAAGCCACCCTCCATTTCAGTATTCTTCGCATTATTCTTTGGATATTTTTGGCCCCTGCTTAATCAGTTTTATAATTAGAATAATATAATAAGACTTTATTTGTAAAGCACTTGCCAATACAAGTAACAAAGTCAAATATAAAAAATCCAGACAAATCGAAGCAATATGTAAATGACATTAAAAAGACATCACACAATAAAAACATCCTGCATCTTGTAAGCTACTCGACTACAGTATACCTTTACAACAACACTTCTGCATGTTCTGCTGCATGCAGTATTAACCTCGTAAATTCAAACGTTAATGCAGGTGTTGTTTTCAAAATTGTAATAGAGGCTTAACTTAATGTTCTATGGTATACCATTGAATTGCTAATACCCAGTTAACGGTCGTTGACGAACTCAAGAGTCGGTGGCACATAATCAAGCAACAGCTTAGCTTAGCAATCTAACGTTATGTTGCCTCGGAGTAACGTTAACATCTAGTTAAGTACAGAGAAATTCTGATTTAAGACATAATGTCATACATGCATAACCACCCTAGTGTGTACACCAGCTGATGCAAACGCATAGAGAGAAAAGAGTAATGTTCCGGGAAAGTTGTTCTGCTTGTGACGTACAAGTCGTCGATGGTTAGCTAGCTTAGCTAACTTCGGATCGTTCGTAACGTTAGCCAACGGACGCTAGTATAGACGCCACACGCCTCGAGTTAACATACACTGACCGGACAGAAATGTGTTCTACGTGAGTTTAGAACCACAGTTCATCACTTACCAGTGTCAGTGCGGCTCTTGTGGGTAGTATCTTTCTTTTGCTGACCGCTCGGACGGTCGCTCGCACCATGGAGGCAGACATGTTGCTTCATATGAAATCACAACAATTAGTTGCGCAGGCGTGTAAAGGCAAGTGGTGACCGCCCCAAATAAGATGCTCGTTCAATGATAGGCTTATATTATGACGGACGGTCGCAACAGCCAATGGGCCTACGGATAAAACACAACGGGAGATGCTCGCAAATTCTGTTTTGTAACGGCTTCGTAATGTTATTTAAGTACCGTATGTTCTTAACTTTCCGATAATGTACTCTTTTCTGGAACTACTTTTGTACCGATTTTTTCCATTTTCTTTTACTGGTCCATTTTCGTAATCAGTTACTCTGACAAAAAATATCTTACCTGAAGGTCCACTTAGTTGTTTTATTCAAACACTTTTTAACCAAATCCCAGACTTTCTCAGCGGATAAAAAGTCCGCTTTGTTGATCAAACTCCTGTTCCCGAGGTCAATACTGACCTTTCACGCTCTATTGTGCAATATTTAGTGTGGCACACAAGTCTTCTTCTGAGGAATAATATATAAAGACACCAGTGACCCGGGTGGGCTAACTTTAAATGCTTAGATTATTCAGATGGTTATGTCTTTAGTCATTGAGTTTATTTTCTTATAAAATACTCAATAAGTAATATCAATACTACAGTTGTGTGGACTGTTTAGCTACAAATATAAATGTAAAAAATGTTTGAAATTCTTAATCTATCCTACACCTCACTAATGTTGCTTACAATGCCAACAATTTCTAGTCACACCCATGGGTCTTGCAATGTGTATTGTACTATGGACAGACTCCAATAGACCTAGAAATGGGATTTGATTTTAGTTTAATGAATTCTGAGACACAAAATGGATTGCAAGCCAACTTTTCCTGGCAGGATTGGGGTTCCTTAATAACAAACTAAACCTCCCATTTGCATACAACAAAAGAAATGCAGTAAGGCTGGCATTAAAACAAAGTTACTTTAAAATGAGAATTTCATTACAATACCATCAACAACACTTTTTTTTAATAAAATTTAGCTATATTAGGACAACAATAAAGCCAGACAGTCCATATTTGAAGTTGAATGATAAGCAGGTCTTCGAGACATTAACTAGCAGCAACATAATACAAGGGTGTGGACCCTCACAGTGCAGCTACCAATCTGTGGCACCATAACTACAAAATGAAGCCTTTGTGGCAAATAAATACATTTATCTCTCCAATGTCAGACTGAGATTACCTCTAGTTTAGGAGTAAGTGAACACAGCGTTTGCAGCAGCGTATGCCATCAGCTGGACCAGTTGATTGGTTTTTAAAAACCTTGACCACTGTGTAAGCATGAAACTTTCTCAACTATATGTTCTTGCACTACAGTTACAACACTTCCTTGCATGTGTGGAGACACATACAGGCTAGGGTCGGCAGAGGAAGTACAGTTTTACTGTTATTTTACCTTCCATTCACACTTACATATTTGCCCCTCAACTGCCTGTATCTATGAAATAGGGGTGGATCAGCAGTCTCAAAAAATAAAACTATGATCCTGAAAAAATATCTACAGGGTGTTTTCTCTTACACAGAGACACACAAGCGCACAGACATCCTGCACGAAGAGCTGCTTTCAAGGCTGAAGGAGAGACAGACTGCTGGACGTCAGTGCAGATGACAAATAAAACAGGATTTAAAAGAAATTCCATAAAAAAAGATCCTGGCCATCACAAAAGTTACACTGCCATTCAAACGTTTTTGAACCTATATTGTAAATCTTTTTTTGGTTAAATCTGAAGAAAGATAATTAGACAATTCTTCCTAAACATTCTTGCAATTAGAAAATCAGGAATAAGTGAACTGATGTGTAACTTTCTGGTTAAATGTGAAATGGCCTCGATCTTGATGACTCTTAACTGATGTCAAGTCACTGTAAGTAGCGGACAACAAACCATACCATCACCATGTCCAGTTGGCTTACAACTAACGCAGTGCTTACAAACACTAGGTCTTACCTGTGATGACAGTTGAGCCTATACAGTGTCAAGAAGCATTAGCATCAATTACAAAACAAATTGTTGGTATGTTGTCTGCAAAAGATATTATGGTGATCAAGATGTAAGCAATCTACTGTTAGTCATATAGCAGACACTTCTCAATTACTTACATTTTCTAATTTAAGCAATTTCACACTGAATCTGCTTGAAATGTAATGAGTATAAAAAAAACTTGACTGGCAGTGTACCGTAGGTAAACAAAGACATGAGGTCCATGCATAATGGCTTTTCATGTTAAAATGAAAGCTTTAAAAAGCTCCTCTGAGGAGGAGCACTTTAGGGGGGGAAAAAAACAACACACATAAAAAGGCCCTATTTGGCTTCAAGTCAAGGCGTCCTGGCTTTGGCTTTTAATGGGCTCCCATTGGCCCAACAGTCCCATACAGATTTAAGGGTTTCTGGACTTTCTGTCTGCCTGGACAAGAGTAGAATCTCGTGGTTTGCGTAGCCACAGCTGCTGCTCATTCCACTGGGCTCTTCCTGTGACCAGAGCGACCCATATTTCGGCAGGCTAAACTACCTGAAACAAACCAGAACAAAATTGTCAAAACTTACTCCAAAACATGCTTCAAACCTGCACTGGCCACTTTTGTAAAGTGTGTGAAAATACACTTATGCTATCAGGCTAAATGACAGAGCAGGCCACATCGCTACAATATGATAAACTGACAGCTGTATTTGCTGCTTTCTGCTTTATTTAATAATATAATAAGTATTATAACTCAAACAATATGTTTTTGGACTGTATAGAAAACAACAGATAAAAACAAGAGCTAAGTGCTAAATTTTAGCCAAAACATCAGCAAGCATGCACTTTATTCTGAAAAAGATGGCTCAACTTGAGCCTGGTGCAAAAATGTCTTGCTCTCATTCTCTCTCCACACCAGCCATAAAACAAGACAATTGACCAAAAATAACAAAAACACAGACAGTTTTAACTGCGACTAATTCTTCTGCATAGAGTATACAGAGCTGTTTGTCTAAATAAATTATAAACATATTTTTGGTTCAAAACAAGTTGTTGGCAATTAAAATGTGTTTTATGATAGGTGAGGTGAGGTATTTCAAATTTCTTCCTATATTTTACAAAGTAATTAAAAAAAAAAAAAAAAAAACCTTTTTAAACTCAATTAAATGTTAAATTCGTTAGACAGTGACACTGCCGATTAGGCGAGACAGTACCTTAAGAAGTTCAACTGAAGCAAAAACTACAGCAACTTTACATACCTGCTTGTGGACTTAATATCACATTTTGTTGCTTTCTTTTCTTCTTCTCTTCTTGTATAGGTGAACCCTGAAAAAAAAAAGAAGGTAAACAGGGCCACAGGTGTACATAGCGGTCTACCAATTTATAAGAATATTTTTCCATTCACAAGACCGAGATTATACCTGTTTCTCCTTTTCTCTCAAATTCCTCAAGTGGGCTGAAGAGGGGGAGGTAAAGTTTTCCATCTTCACATTACCTGCCAAATGACAAATTAAAGATTATTAATTAAAGAGAGCAAATGACTTTTCCCCTTCATTTTATGAATAATATTAATGCAAAATAATGTCTTGTACTTAATATTTATAATGCAATAGAGGAAAATAGGAAACTAACATACCTGTGTTCTACTATGGAGTTGAGAAATATCTTTTGTAAGGGCTTAACAATGCAAATGAAAGAAAAGTAAAATAAAATAAAAAAAAATCAAATTTTGTGTGAACCTGCAGGGCTTCTGTACAGCTGACAGTCCTTCTTGATGTGGGCACTTGATCCACACAGGTAGCAGCAGCGCATTTCCAGTGCATCTCTTTTCCTCCAGTGCTCACGCTTGTGTCTGACATGATCCTTGTTGTTCTCTGCTGTATCCATTTTGTCTCTCAGGTGCTCTGGCCTTTTCTCAGGGTCCCTTCTGTGCTTGGACCTGGACCAAAATGATCACAGCACAATACAAACAAGTAGCTTGACACATGGTGCAGATAAACATTTAACTAAGTTAACACTGTGACTTATTCAGCCATGTATTGTGATTGTACGTACTTCCTACGCATGGGGCAGTCTTTCATGAAGTGGCCGATCTTGCCACATATGCGGCAGCAGCGATCATTGGGAGCCACCTCTCCCTCAGTGAGAACTTCAGGATCAAAGAAGTACTCCTGGGACAAAAGAGGATGAATTACAATGTCAGTGCTTATATAATGTTACCATAATATGCAATTATAGCGTTTAAACAGCAAGTACTAACCATCTGACTGGGGTAGATGGGAGGAAAGGCTTTGATGGGTGTGCCAAACACTGTTCTGCCGTTGATGAAAGCCTTCATGATGAAGTTAGTCACTGTTTCGGGAAATGACAAGAAAATACATTTGAAAAGACAGAGAAAAACAGAGAAAAAGAGAAAGAGACTACAGAAGACAGATAAAAACAGAGAGAGAAAAAAAAAAGTCTTACTTTTCCTGGACAGACCGGCACCCAGATTATGATTCAGGTCAAATGGATCTATAAATGAGCACAGAAGAGAAAGCAACACAGTTGACAAATATTTCCAAACAGCCACAAACAAACAACGGAACAATACTGAAGGTGAAAACTAGAGCAATAATACTTTGTCTTTTTATTGTACACATCTGGACCCAGAGAATGTCACACACGCTGACCTTCAATGACAATGTATTTGGATGTCCACTGCTTGTTGAAGGTGGTGAGGCGGCACTGCTGACGTATACAGACAACATGCTCTCTGAAGTCAAAGTCCTCTGTATAAAAGCGGAGCAGGCCGAGCCACAGCTCCCCCACTGTCTCAGTGTTCTTCCCAAACTCTGGCCAGCGACTGGGCTGCAGGAGAAAGAAGACATGATTGACATGTTATTAAGACACAGTGTGACATGCTCATTTCACCAAAATCTTTAGAGGGATACCCACAGAAAATATGCAAAAAATAGAAAACACTCACTAATGTTTTTAAATCGTCAAAGAAGTACACGTTCCAGCCATCAACTAGTACTTCCGGCTTC